GAACACCTGGTGGGAATAGATCATTCCAGTTGCTGCCTTGCTGTAAGCACTCCTGTGGGGCAGGTTGGGCTGATCTTTCCTACTTTGCAGCTGGGGTTCTGTTTTCTCTTAATACCTAGTTGACTGGTTCTTATCACAGGGTCTGGGAACACCTGCTCTGTGATAAGTGTGTTTATACATCCCACTTATTCACTAGGCCTGCAAGGGAGCAGAACAGGCCTGGAAGTAGAGAAGCCTCATAGGTAATGTTACAAGAGAAAGGAAAGTTGGGAGGAAAATGTCAGAAACTTGGGTCTATATGAGAAAAGGAAGAACATTAGGGAAAGAATAGATGAAAGTAAAATAAAATCTCTTACATTTATTATTCTAAATTGATCAATACACTGTTATTGAGCTAACACTTTAAGTGATCATGTCTTATAGGTAATGAAAGGAATGACAGTGTTTATAAGGGACAGGAAAAGAAACTGGTCACACTCTCTTACAAGGTACCTGCATTATCCAGGAAGTGGGACAGGGCCATCTGAAAGTGAACAGGACTGACTGTAAATGTATACTCCAAAATGTAGGGCAACCAGTAGACATTTTTAAAAAATGAGATTTACATAGTTTTTATTTTTTTATTTTTTACATCAGTTTTGCTATGTAGCCCAGGCTTGCCTTGACCTCAAGATCCTTCTGCCTCTGCCTCCTGAGTGCTGGTACAGATATGTGCCACTACATCTGGCTAAGAGTTTAACTTTAAAAAAAACTGACATGCTAAGAGGTAAGAGAAAATGGAAGCATATAGTATGCTCAGTTCATATGAGACAAGGAAGAAAAGAAGTAGAAGACAAAGAATCAGGGGCAACGAATTAGAGAACAGCTGTTTTCCAGGGTGGGGCATGGCTCATGTAGCATTGCATCTGCTTAGCAAGCACAGGGCTCAAAGTTTAATCTGCAGTAGTACAGAAACAAAGCAAAAACAAACCAGAAAACAAAATCAAAACCACACGAGACAAAACCACAAGGAAAGCAGATGAAACTTCAAGGACACATAAACTCACTACTATAATTGGTGACATCAACACCCCTCTATCAGTGAGTGACAGATCCTGCAGGCAGATAACCAGTTAGGGTAGAGTTGAACTGACATTTCCATCAGTCAATATGTCTGAATTAACATTATTGAATTCTTCATTTAATAGCAGAATGCACATACTTTTAAAGTTCACATGGAATGTTTATCAAGGCAGGGGTGGTGCATGCTTGTAATCCTACTACTTGGGAGGCTAAGGCAGGAGGAATCTCAGTTCAAGGTTAGCCTAGGCTACAAAGTCAGTCCCTGTGTCAAAAAATCAGAGCAAACAGAAAAAAATTACAGATACCAGAAAAATAACGCTTGGAGGGAAATTCACAGTATGAATGAATATATCAGAAAAGGAAATCTTGCTGGGCACTGGTGGCTCATGCCTGTAATCCTAGCTACTCAGGAGGTAGAGATCAGGAGGACTGCAGTTCAAAGCCAGCCTGGGCAAATAGTTCGAGAAACCATATCTTGAAGAATCTTTCACAACAATAGGGCTGGTGGAGTGGCTCAAGTCGAAGGCCCTGAGTTGAAGCTCCAGTGCCAAACAAAACAAAACAAAACAGAAAAGAAAAGAAAATCTAACTCTGGTTTTTCCTCATATATAAATCTTTCAATTTTTACTAGAGAAGATGATCTAAAGTCAATAATCTAAGCTTTCACTTGAACAAACAAGGAAAAGTGGAGCAAATTAAAATCAAGTAAGGAGAAAAAACACAGGAACAAAAATTGGAAATCAATGAAACTGAAAACAGAAACTCAAGAAACCCAAACTTTGGTTCTTTGCAATGATCAACAAAAACTAGTAAGTTTCTAGGTAGGCTAACCAAGAATAAAAAAGTGGGTACATGGTAATAGTAACAGAAGAAATGAAAGAAGGGCTATCATTACAGATCCTATGGGTATGAGAAGGATAAAGAAGGAATAGCATGAAAAACTCTATGTTCCTAAATTTGGTAACTTGTGTGAAATGGACTGTTTCCTTGAACTATACAATCTATATAAACTTACACAAAGAGAATCAGACAATCTTTTTTTTTTTTTTGCAGTATTGGGGTTTGAACTCAGGGCCTACATCTTTATCTACTCCACCAGCCCTTTTCTGTGAAGTTTTTCTCAAGATAGGGTCTGGCAGAACTATTTGCCTGAGCTGGCTTTGAACTGAGATCCTCCTGATCTCTGCCTCCAGAGTAGCTAGGATTACAGGCATGAGCCACCAGGGTCTGGCTAATAGACAGTCTTAATAGGTCTATATCCATTAAAGAAAAGGAAGAAATAATAATTAACAACCTTTCAAAATAGAAACTACCAGGTCTGGATTCTACTAAATATTTGAGGAAGGATTTATACCACACCTCTACCACATCTTTCATAAAACAGAAACACAGGGACTATAGTACTTCTTCATTCATTTTATGAGGACAGGATTATTCTAAAACCAGAACTAGACAAAGATATTACATAAAGGAAAACCACAGAAATAGATGCAGAAGTCCTCGGCAGATCTAATTCAAATATATATAAATGATTATGCACCACAACCAACTGGTGTTTATTCCAAATATGCAAGGGTTGCTCAACCATTCAAAAATCAATTAATATAATCCATATCAACAGGCTTAAGAAGAAAAACTATAGTCAGATTAATAGGTATAGAAAATTAAACAATAATAATAAAAATTCTCGGTATACTAGGAATAAAGGAGAGCTTCCTCAGCTTGATAAAGAAAATGTACAAAAAGCCTATAGTTAGATCAAGTGATCAAGGGATTTGATCAAGTGATTATAACAAAGGGTAATCACTCAACTGTGTCCCTGTATACTAGCAATGAACAATTGGAATTTGAAAATAAAAATACAATACTACTTACATTAACACTAAAATATGGGATATTTAGGTATAAATCTTAACAAAATAATAACAAGTCCTCTAGTTATGATGCTCTGGACTCAGTTTGTCTGCTCAGGGACCTAGACATCTGTAAGGTGTCTGGGTCCTCATAGCCTGTCCACTCATGGGCACCAGTCTGAGTCCATCTTCCTCATAGTCTGTCTGACTAGTATGAAGCTGTGCCAGTCTACACTTGCAATCTGTTCACTTCCAGTACCCAGACAGCGTATTTATGCACAAGGTGTTTGGTCCTGATAGCTTGTCTGCTCAAGGGACAAGGGCTGTGTCCATCTGCATTAGGTGCTCTGAGCCCATACCCTGTCTGCTCAGGACTGTTGTGGAGGAGCAGCTCCACCCTGGCTATGGATGTCCCTGAAATCCCCCTCCCCAGATTCTGAAAACCTTCTTTACCACTTCCTGCCAATAATTTCTCCCTGCTTTGCACTACAGTCTATGTATGGTGTTCCAGAATTGCTTTATATAAAAATCTGATTGTATAACCTTCTTAGCATGACCAAGGAAAGCAGGGGACTCTTTTTATTTGGTAGATTGTAGTGATGGCTGCACAATTATGTGACCATACTGGAAACATTTTAAATGAGTGTTATCTCATTGAGTTTATATCTCAAAAAATCACCTAAAAAACACATGATCCCTAAATTCTAAAATCTCCTTTGTAGAAATCAGTAGGGAATGATTCCAAGAATATATTAGAGACTGCTTTATAATGGAAAAAACATTGGGCCATCCTAGATGCCCACCAATGGAGAAGTAGTTTACTTATGTGGGCCTACTATGCAACTGTGAAACTCTTTTTTTCTCCTTTTTCTTTTATTGTTGTGCTGGGGGAGGTACGTTGTGGCATTTATAAAATTTCTTACACTGTATCAAACATATACTTGAATTCACCTCTCCATCATTCTTCTTTATACCCCTTCCCCACTTTCCTAGAATACTTTTAACAGGTCTCATTCTTCCATTTACATTCATCCAGCAAACCATCCCAACTTGCAGATATGAAAGCTCCCTGCAGTGTGTCATTGCGGTGCTTTGTGAGTGGAGTGCAGCAACAGGATGGGTGCACGGCAAGTGTCTGGCAAGAAGTTGCTACATTCTCTGACTTAGGCTTTCACTAGGTTAAATGAACATGCATTACTTTTATTATGAAATTCCTATGAAGTTAAAAAAGACAGCATTAATAGTATTTTCAGCTCCAGATTCATATATAAAACCAGTACCAAGACATCTTCTCAGATATTAAAAACACCCAAACGTAGCCAGTAATTACTTTACAGACAGCACCATCATCGCTTCCCTGCCTGAGCCAGAAGCTTGGAAGTGGTGGCATATTATCCCTGCCCCAACCCCTATCCCCCTTGGCCTAGTTTACCAGCCAACACATTAATTTCCCTCCTAACCAAATCCACTCTTGGATTTACTTCTCTGTCACTGTCAGCACTGCCACAGTGGCCCTCCATCAGTTTTGCAGGGATGGAAATCAGACCATGCCTTTTCTAGTCTTTAAGGCCAGCAACTACAAACCACTCCCTGTGTGGTCTTCACAGGCTATCTCCTCTGTGTAGATGGACATTTTTGTGAATGTCTCAATACTGAGGCTGCCCACCTCTCTGTGTACAGCATAGCATAGTCTTGACACTTGGCTGCCCTTCTACACATCTTGCATTCCCTCCCTCCCTCCAGGTGCCTATCTTGCCTGCTCCAGGGCATTCCTGCTTGCCAGCTCTCTAGTCAGCTGCTTTTATTAGTCCTATTCCTTGCCCCTGTTCCTGATATGATTTGTCCCACCTACCCATCAGATCTCAGCTCCAGCCTCCAGTGTTTTCATGTCTTTCTATATAGACTCTTAAGTCCAAGAGGAAAGAACCTCTTCTTATTTTGTTTCTTATCTACCAATGTCTGGAACATAACAGTACAATATTTAATACATATAATATTGTACTATTATATATATAATGTATAATAGTACAATATATAAATACATATATATGTATATATACCATTTCCAGTGACATGACTGCTCACCTCGCACACTGCAGATGGAGTTGACAGGTGTGAGGGAGTCTAGTTCATCCAGCATCACTGGGCCAGTCAGTTCACAGGGGTCAGTACCAGAGGCCACACACATGAGAGGCTTTTGAGGTAAGAGCACAGTCCGTTCAACACAAACAATTCGACCTGCCAACAGAGATCCTTCATATTACTGAAGCACTGAAGAAAAGTGTGAATTCTCCTATCTGCCATTAAAGACAGTCTTCTTCACCAGCCTCTGTAAGCATTGTGGGAGAAAGGGCACAGATGTGGATCACCTGTTCTCAATGCCAGGCCATATCCAGTGGCACACATGCTATGCAGAAGCATGCCTTAAAGCCTCCAGTGAACTAAGGTGGAAAAGGACACAAAGGTTACATTCAAATTCATTTGGAAAGGGTAAATTTTGTGGTATAGAAATTATATCCCAATAAAAGGTAAAAACCAATACAGCTGAGGCAGAATTTTAGTGTGATCCCTGTAAAAAAAAAGAAGAAAAAAAAGGGCTGATTTTTTTTGGAGAGGTTTCACTAAGTAGCTCAGGATGGCTTGGCTTGAACTCATAACTCTTCTGCCTCAGCTTCCTGAGTGCTGGATATGCCATTACTCCTGGCTTAGAGCTTATACATCTGTAATGTTCTAGCTTTTGGTTTATTTTAAAAGTGACCATGCAGGACATGACTTCAGGTAGCTTCTGTACCAGCCAACAGAGAATCTTAGAGTAGCCAATGGTGTCTCCACAGGGCCTAACAGCACCTCTGCAGTGCTGGTGCTGCAGAGGTGGCCATAAAGGGGAGTCAATAAAAGTCTGGGGCTGATTAGGTAGCCATTACTGGCCCTCTGCATAGGCCGTTTGAAGGTACCACCAGTGCTGAGCAAGATGGAGGAAGGCAGGAGCTACAAGAACCACTGTATGGCACTGATCAGTCACCCCAATCAAAGCTTGGAGAATAAGCAAGCACACCCTTGTCTTGGAGAGCGTCCCTGAAGAGAATGCTGTGAGGCACAACCATGGTGAGTGCTTCCAGGACTTCTGGACCCAACACACATGAGGGGGCCACATAAACTGGCAGGGTTCTGGGGAGGCGGGGGTCACTTTCTTCCTTTGTTTGCAGGGTGACATCAGTCACTAGCAGCCAAATCTCCCTTTGCTCCAAAAGAAGCAGACTCTTCAGCTACAATTTGAAAGTAAAGACTATTAATTATGCTTATATCCAAAATTAATTTCCAAAAGCAATAATCTTAGAAGATTATTATCACCAACAACTTAAAATATTATTTCAAAAATACTTTAAAACATACAATAGCTTGCACATCTTGGTCACTAGCCCCATTAACACAGTTGTGTCCAATCTTGCACCTGTTTAAAGGGCTCCTTTGCTGTGACACACTTTGCTGGCAGTTCTACTTGTCCTCTGACTTGCTCAGGCAGAATTCATTGTTCTTTCCTCCCAGTCGACCTCACATTTGTAGAACTGAATGGTGCTTTCTATCTTGTGCACACATATTCTCTTTGGGTAGCTGCAAGTTTTCTGAGGTAAGTTAGGAATGGATCTCACTTGCCCTCAGACTTTGTACATAGCCTTGTTATAAAATAGGTGTTGCACATTTGTTTTATGTGCAATAGTTTTTATTTTTTTTCCCTTTTAGTGTGTGTGTGTGTGTGTGTGTGTGTGTGTGTGTGTGTGTGTGTGTGTATGTATGTGCATGTGTATATAGGTGGGACTTGGGTTTGAATGTAGGGCTTTGAGCTTGCAAAGCAGGTACTCTACTGCTAGAGCTACAGTGCCAATCCATATTTTGCTCTTGTAATTTTGGGGATGGGGGTCTCTAGAACTATCTGGGCTGGCCTCCCAAGCAGTTAGGATTACAGGTGTGAGCCACTGGTGCTTAGCTATAACTTTTTCATACCTTCACAAATTATAATGACTTTCCAGTTACATTAAACTGGCATGTGACCCTGTCCATGGTCAGAGCTTAGGATTCAGTAGATGCAAATAGGGCCAAGGACAACCAACAGGGCCAGGGCCTGAGGGCTTGGCTGGTTTGAGATTCAGTTGCTATTGCTGGTGTGGATGGTGTGGTCAGGCTGAGTGTTCCACATGGCTAGCTAACAGGACTGGGCAGAGGTGTTGCATGGTTGGGAACTATGGGTTGCAGTGGAGGAGGTAGCCCACATGGTTGGGAAGTTGATCATATACAGGAAGTTGGAGTAAATAATAACACTGAGGAAAATGGAGTTAAGATGAGGAAATTAGGTAGGTCCTAATCCCATATGAATGATGCCATAAAATCTGGGCAGAAATTTGGGGAAATTTGGACAGGCACATGCACAGAGAAGACAACATGAAGATACAGGAGAAGATGACCATGTGACTGGAATGATGTGTCTACAAGCCAGGAAATGACAAGTATTGTCAGGAAACAGCAGAAGCTGTCTGTCATAGGGAGCTAAACTCTGCAGAATCCTGTGTTTCAGATTCCTAAAGTGGAAGAAAAAAAAATTTTTTTTTTTTTTTACATTACTGGAGATCAAACCCAGGGCCTCACACATGCTAGGCAAGCACTTTGCCACTTAAGTGCCAGCCCTTTTTGTTTATATTTTTTTGAGACAGGTTCGTGTTCTTTTGCTCATGACCTACTCAGACTTGAGATCTTCCTGTTTCTGCCCTTCTGAGTAGCTGAGACTATAGGTATGAACTAGTATACCTGGTAAAGTGTGTTCTTTTAAGCCATCTAGTGGGCTGGAGATGTATGTAGCTCAGTGTGGAGCAGTTACCTAGCATGTACTGGTCCTGGGTTCCATCACCGGAACCATGTACACACACAAAAAAAGCCAGCTAGTTTTTGAAACTTTACCTGACAGCCTTAGGACACTGATACAATACATATTGCATGGTTCTATTTATGGAACAATCATAAAATAACATGATGGCAATGATGGAAAACATAGTGGTTGCTGGGGGAAAGGACAGGGAAGGAGATAACTGTGGTTATAGAGGAGACACAAGGGAATCTGGTGACAACAGAGCATAGTACATGTAGTGCAGTGATAGTTATATAGGTTATATATAGTTATATATGTGATGAGTTGCACAGAAGCCCACATACATGCATATGCACACATGACTAATGATGTCTGAGTCAGCTTGATGGACTGTCAAGAGTCAGTTTCTTGGTTTTGTGTTTTAGTACTTGTGGGTGTGGGAAGTTGGCAGGGGCCTTCTCTGTATATTTCTTGAAATCTACCTTGAATCTAAAATTACTTAAAATTATAAATAAGTTAAAAAAAACCCTCTCCTTTACTTTCTATGACTTAGTCACTAATATAATGAAATGTAACCAGGTATTTTTTGATGACTCAGGTTCTTGCAGTGACCCACAGTGCCATTCTAAATGCCAATTCTCTCTTTAACAAAATCGGAGAATGAGAGGGTGGCCCAAACAATGTATACACATGTGAGTAAATGTAAAAACGAAAAAATACAATTAAAAAAATAATAAATGCCAGTTCTCACCACAGAGGTACAGGTGATTGGCTTAACCATTGATTGACCAGGACTCAGTTATTTCAATTCCTCTTGAGGATGTGGGTTTCTGGTGAATCTCTTTCCCACAAAAGCAGAATGCAGGAGAGCTCCTGCCTAGCAAGTATAAGCCCTGAGTCCAAATACCCAGTACCACAAAAAAAAAAAAAAAAAAAAAAAAGCAGAATGCAGGAGAAATACAGAATTTTAGTGGATTAATGAATGTGTTCCACTGGGTCCGCAGTCTTTGACTTTGCTCCTGACTGTAGGATCACAAGCTCCTAGTTACACACACTCATTGAAAGCCAGCTTTCCCTGCACAGTGGGAGCCTATTTCTCACACAGGAGGTGACCTCCCAGGCCCTCACCCAGTGAGTTAGAGGAATCAGCCCGTGCTTCCCTCTACCTGGTCTTGGGCTGAGCATTAAACACCTGCCTTCCTTATTTGTTCTCAGTCTCTGCTCTCAGCTAAAGAGCTTTGGGCAGGAGCATGTGCCACCACAGCCTCGGAAAATCACTATACCTGCAGCATAAATGGTGCCTAGCCTAAAGGCCTAGAATGTGCTTTTAATGTGTCAGATGTTCAATGTATCTCCATATACCAGTTGTTCTACAGATCTACAGGAACACAAAGTCAGCTTTCAGATTGGAAAGATAAAAAAAAAAAATCAAAAACATCTGGAAGCTGGGTGCCGGTGACTCATGCCTTATAATTCTAGCTACTCAGGAGGCAGAGATCAGGAGGACCTTATCTTGAAAAAACCTATCACAAAAAAGGACTGGTGGAGTGGCTCAAGGTGTAGGCCCTGAGTTCATACCCCAGTATTGCAAAAAAAAAAACCAAACCAAAACAAAAATCTGGGATGTAAGAAACATATGATGTATTCAAGCCTTGTCCTCACTGTCCCTGTCCCTCTGCTTGCTGAGATGGACACTGGTACAGCTCACACAGAGTCCAATAAACGATCTTTAGATCCAGGATCAGGAAACTATGGCCTGTGGGCCAATCTGGCTTATATATAGCTTGCAAGTTAAATTTTTTTTTATATTTTCAAATGGCTGAAAAAAATTTCAAGAAGAACATTTTGTGGCACATGAAAACTATATAAAATTCAAATTTCAGTGTCTAGAAATAAATGTTTTTGTCACTCATTTACGAATGATAACATGGCTGCTTTTGCACTGCATGGTAGAGTTGACTAGTTGCTACAGAAACCATATGACCCAAGAACCATAAAATATAAACTATCTGGCCCTTTATAGGAACAGTCCACCCATTTTTTGTCCCCCAGTAGCAGAGTTTGAACTTAGGGCTTTGCGCTTGCTAGGCAAGTGTTTTACTACTTGAGCTACACCTCCAACCATTGAATTCAGGATCTTGCACTTGCCAGGCAGGTGCCCTACCATTTGAGCCACACTGTTAGCTCTTTGCTCAGTCTTGATATAGATGAGAAGTGTGATATACACTGTGATGATGCAATTTTAGTGATGTTTATTTGTATATAACTCATCATAACTTGTTTTGAAGTTAAGAAGCATATTCTTCTAGTTATTCTATAGCTCTTCCATTGCTATAGAAGAGCAGAGAAATAAAAAAAAATAGTTCAAAATAGATGCTTATGAAAAAAAAGCAGGCAGCTGATGAACTGTAACTGTATACAAAGCACATATGATTTTAGAGATTCGTATCAAGTGTGTGGGCATGAAATGCCCCAAGTCCTACGATTTGCTTTAGAATATTCAGCTAAAAAGAGCTCAGTGTGTGCATCAAATCTTGATAGTCAGGTACACCACTCCTAGCACAGCAGCCTCTGTGCTAGAAGTGGTGGCTCATGTCTGTAATCCCAGCTGCTTGGGAGGCAGAGATCAGGAGGATTGTGAATCAAGACCAGCTCAGGCAAAATGTTAGCGAGACACCATCTAAATCAATAAGCTGGGCAAGGTGGCATGCATCTGTTATTATAGCTATGTGGGGAGCATAAATAGGAAGAATGTCATCCAGGGCAAAAAAAGGAAACCCTTTTTGAAAAATATCTTAAGCAAAAAAGGCTGAGGGTGTGGTACAGCTCCCTGAGTTCAAACCCCAGTCCTGCCAAAAAAAAAAAAAGGGCACTCATCTAAGGGCACCTCACATTGTGCTTATGTCCTTAGTTGTGCTGGCTTCTGGCTTGCTCTCTTCCAGGCTTTGGCTTCCTTGATGGACAGTTTTCCTGACTGGCCACAGGTGATGCTGTAGCAGCCTGCCTAACAGTAGGCACCCAGGGCCCTTGTCTGCTTTTGCATAGTCTGGAGGCAGCTCAGAGGCCTCATTCTCTCCAGCACCACAGAAGACACATGAGAGCACTTTGCTCACCAGTGGATGAGGGCTTAACAAACAGGATGTGCTCTGCACCTCTCAAGTGAGTAGACTTACATGGATGTTCCCTCAGGAGCTAAGGGCTGTATTGGTGTCTTGTAGAACCAAGTCCATGTATTCAGATTGTCAAAAGGCAATTCTTTTCTTCCTCTACTCCCAGCTGACTCAACAGCTCTTCTCTTGGCTGCCATTCCCTAGAACCACTGAAGGCCTCATGGAACTACTTTGAAAGGCTCTTGGAGTTTTCAGAAGTGGCTGAGTTCCATCCTGAGATTCCTACTTGTACCACATAAATGAGGTTTTAGCTTCTCTCTTCTTTCCTCATACTGCCTATATTTCAGAAAAGAATGGGCCAACAATCTTTGGGGGAAGGGTAATGGCTGGGTTATTTTACACCCTAGTTCTTAGCATGGTGGTTAGCAATCCATACCCACAGAGCTTACAGTGGTACAAATGCACTTTTTTTTTTTCCTGTGGTACTAGGGTTTAAACTCAGAGTCTTGCACTTTCTGGGCAGGTACTTGTTGGGCAGGTGCTCTAGCACTTGAGTCATACTTCCAGTCCTGACCTGAATTTTAAAGACATTTTTCTATGGCATACCACTAATTTCTAAGAATTATTTTTTATAGCAATGTGTGTGTGTGTGTGTGTGTATGACAGAGAGGTACAGGGGGGTATTACCTGCGGTCTTTGATAAATCACTCTGGCAAAGAAACTGCACCGGGTAACCTGATCATGAGTCTGCAAAAGCATTGACAAAGATAGGTAACATCACACAAAGCACATGGACTTGGTAAAAGTATGTGTTGAAAGAGCTTGTTAGAAACAAAGTCATTACCTGGAGAATTTCTCTTAAGTAGTGGAGAATTGGGGGCTGGTAAAGCTTTGAGATGGGGTCTTCTTCAATGATTTCAATTTGTCCCAGACTAGGATGAGCTGAGAGGATGTAACAGAAGGTAGGTGGAGGTACATCAGTTTTCACCTGTTTAAAATGAAGGCAAAGGCCGAACATGAATTTATTGCGAAAAGACTCAGATGCACTATTAAAATCTGCTCTTTTATATCTGTATATATATATATATATATATATATATATATATACAGATAGATAGATAGATAGATAGACAGATAGATAGATATATGACTGCTTATAGATGCAAACTCTTTCTGGAAGGCTATATAAACAATGTTATATGCTTGCCTTTGGGACCAAGCATAAGAATATTTTTTTGGAGGGCTGTACTGGGGATTGAATTCACAGCCTTGCTTATTAGACAAGCACTTTACCACTGAAGCAATGCCTCATTGGAGCATACTGAAATCTATTACTTGGAGCATACTGAAAACACCATTTAGAAATTACATCGTCTTAAATAATCTACACATGGACATTTTTGACAACTGTGTTTATGGTCCAGGCCAGGGTCATATATGCAGCACTCCGCTAAAAAAAAACTGTCCATGTGAAGATAGACTCCCATTTTCAGCTTTGAGAGACACTGCCTAGAGCTGCCACTGGCCATGCTGCTGGACAAGGCCCAGGAGAGGGAGAAGGGGACATTTTTTGCTGCTTGTGAGCCACTACCATGAACCACGTGATGAGGCAGTAAAATGGAAATTCCTGGCTACTTTGGTGGTTGTAGGAATACTTATGGATTCTGTTGAATTCCCACTCTAATTGGTGATGGAGTCTTAGTTTTATGATGATTAGAAGAGGGTGGGAAAACACCAAGACCTTGACAGCTGCAACAGCATGTAAGAATTTCAGCTTAAAAATTCACTGTAACTCAATCTGAGAAGTATGCTGTGTAGCACAGGAGAGCAGCAGCCAGGGTTTAGGCTCTGGAGAGAGGTGGAGGGATTCCAATCCTAGTGCTGCCTCAGACTCATATGTCATCACAAAGGAACTATATGCAGGGCTCCTTGTTGCTTTTCAGGACAAGGACTATATGGATTGTGGTGGGAGTTCCTGACTTGGTATCTGGAATGGGACAACCTGCTGCCAGGGGAGCTCTCTGACTCTGGACTCACCTCTTCAGAAGGCTGGCCATGGCTAGGTGCTTTCAAAGGTATCACTGGGGGCCATATAGTGTCAATCAAACTGAAGAGCCCTGGTGACCTGAAACAAGAGAAGACAATCTCACAAGTATTCATCACCTGTTAAGTACCTGATCAGTGAAATACTTAAAAGACACCATCCTTATGGCCAAGGAGCTACAACTTGAGATGGTTAGTGACTCACATGAGGAAGACAAAAGGCATATAGGCATTCATGCAAATTCAACAGCACCATGATAGGAAACGCCATTAAATTATGATACATCTGCACAATGACATATTATCCAATCACTGAAACAATTATGTAGAAAATATTCAAGGAGTGGTGGATCAGGCTTGTAACCCCAGCACTCTAGAGGTGGAGACAGGAGGATATCGAGTTCAAGGCCAGTCTGGGCTACATAGCCAGACTGTGTCTCAAAAGACCAAACAAACCAGACATCAGTGGCTTGTGCCTGTAATCCTAGCTACATGGGGGGCTGAGATGAGGAGGATCGAGATCCAAGGTCAGCCTGGGCAGTTTGAGAGACCCCATTTCCAAAATAACCAGAACAAAATGGACTGGAGACATGGTTCAAGAGGTAGAGTGCCTGCTTTTGCAAGTTAGAAGGCTTGAAGCCCTGAGTTCAAACCCCAATCCCACCTCCCCCCACCAAAAAAACACCTCGCCAAAACAAATGTGCACACACTCAATACCAAATCAAACCAAAAACACCCTTAAAGACACAGAAAGAAGGGGTAGGGAAGATAAAAGAGAATGACGGGGGCTGGGGGGTGGTGGTGTAAATTACACTATGATACATTGTAAGAACTTTTGTAAATGTCAGTGTACCCCCAGCACAAGAACAATATAATAAAAAAAGAAAAGACACATAAACATATTTTTAATACCTTGCTAAATGAAAAGAAGGCAAGAAATTAAACTTTTTGTATTACATACCTATGCATGCACCTATATGTAATAAGTCAAAGGAAAAGAAGACTGAAAGATTTTAGTGGCTATCTAAGTAAGGAGTCCTTGGAGGTGATACTTACTTTCTTCCTTTGGATTGTGTGTTTCTTATATATTTTTTTCAAAACATACATATGGATATTTCTACTTATATAGAGCAGGATTACATCCAGATCATAATTTGAAAATGTTGTATGTCAAAAATACATTTAGTATGTCTAATCTACTGAACAATACAGTGCTTGGCAACACAGTGCATTGTGGTGTTTCAGTTTCCCCTTGTGATCATGGGGATGATGGGGAGCTTTGGTCTTAAAAATAAAACTGAAATACAGTTTTAACTGAATGCATATTGCTTTTGTAGCATTATAATGACAGAAAGTCTTAAGTTGAACCACTGTCAGGGGCCATCCATATGTTACTTTTATGATAAGAAAAATTATCTAAAATAAAAATATATAGCCAGAAACAAATAGACAAGCATTCTAAACTGGCATATAAGAGAACATCCAGGTCAGTGAACATAACAGCACATGGAGGATACATGATGACAATGATAGGCAGAGGAAGAAAACAATGATGGTGGGGGAGAAGGGAGAGGAGGAATGGAAACATAACAGAGGGAGTGAATTTGTTCAAGGTATACTGTGAGCATGTATGGAATTATCGCAATAAATAAATCCCCTTGTATTATTAATGTATGATAATTCAAAAATAAAATGAAAACATTAAAAGAAAAAAGAAAGAAGAAAAGCAAACTAGACTAACTAGGCACTGGTGTTCCTCTCTTCAAAAAATGTTAGCTAAGAACCAAGGCTCTGATTAATTTAAGGAACTAAGAATTCAAAGACAATCATAGATTAGATATTGCAATTTTAACTTATGTTAATTTTAGAGCACCAAATGTTTAAATTCTTTTCATATGCAAAATAGTACTTGTTAAGTTGGTTGCTACAAATCTTTGTTTATGGAAATAAAATGGACAAGATAATGAAATAAAAAGAAAACAAGGATTTAAAGCTCAAATTTACACTGTGAACTTCTCTAGATTTTTAAAATTTCTTCTTTTTTAATTTAATTTTTTGGCTGTACTGGGGTTTGAACTCAGGGCCTCATGCTCTACCACTTACTCACTCCGCCAGCCCTAAATTTCTTAATTTCTTCTTTCTTCCCATCTATCCATTCATCTCTATCTCTCCCTCTCTCTCACACAAACACAACACACACACACACACACACACACACACACACACACACACACACACACTCTCATGCACGCACGTGCACATACACAAAGCCCAGGAAAATAAGCAGAAACAAAACAAAACAACCCTAGTAATGAAACAACAATCAAAGAAGAGCTGGGCCAGGACTGATAGAAAATATAAACTAGCTGGGTGCTGGTGACTCACGACATAACCCTAGCTACTTGGGAGGCTGAGATCAAGAGGATCAGGGTTTGAGGCCAGCCCAGGCAATAGTTCGAGAAGTTCCCCTTTCCAAAAATAACCAGAGCAAAATGAACTGGAAGTATAGCTCAAGGGATAAAGTTGCCCTGAGTTCAAATTCCAGTCCCACAAAAAAAAAAAACAGAAAGAAAAAAACTACAAGCCAGGTTCTGAAAGACAAAGGCCCCATGTTTTCTGTCATATGTGGAAGATAGATCCAAAAGATAAACGTATACACAAAAACAACATAATCATATACCATCTGCAATGTAGAACATGTTAGTAATAGTGGAGTTACACTATGGAACTTGAGGGAGGAGGGGAAGGAAAAGAGATGATAGTCAACAATATCTGAATACTTCACATCTGTGCTGGGAGAGGATGTAACCATATGTACATCTGTGCTGGGAGAGCTGCTGAATAATGGGTAGTAAGGAAGCGTAAACAGAGGGGGGTTGAACTGACCAAAGTAAAGCACATTCACAGCTGGATACACTAAGAAACTCACTGAACATTGACTTGAAATTAACAATGAAAGACAGGACTATAAAATAGGTACAGTGTGTGGGAAGTACTTGTGGGACTGGGAAGGGTGAATGGAGGAGATGAAGGTGAGGGGATATGGTTTATGGGCTTCATGTACATATAGAGATTAGGATGATGAAACCTCTTGCAGTTGCAAGTGGTGAGTGGGGGGCCAGAATGGAGAGGGCAATCTAACCAACATACAGTTTAAGGCTATTTGGAAATGTCACAACAAATCCTCCCCTGTACAAAGAATATATGGTAATAAAAATGGAAAAGACAAAAGAAGCTACAAACTAATTTGGACCTCAAGAGAAAAACAAAACAAACAAATAAAAAAACCAAACCCACTACTCATTCAGTGTGCATTTGCTTGAAACTAAAGCCTGGTTTTACCAAGGGGACTGGCTGCTTTGATGAGTAAAAAGGATGGTTTGATACTGCTGAGAAACTGAGCTAAGGCTAAGAATGTGACATTTCAAATAGTTTTTGTTTTCCTTATAATCTTTTGACCAGATAATGAAGAAAGATATCTTAATTTTCTCAAGAAATAAGCTTACTTAGTGCTGCTGTAATTTACCTGCCAATAGGCTCTTACTGCTTACTAAATCTTAGACTTTCGGAAACGTTTACAGATGAACTTTCCTAGTGGGAAAAAGTAAGCAAACTTGAAAATTACCTAAGGATAAAGGCAAACAGCAGTGACCAGAGTCAAGCTTGTTCAACAGGAGAACAAGCTGACAGACAGGTGCTCCTGGGTGAGGAGTACTGCTCTCTATAGGTACAAACTCTTGGGTAAAGCAGCATCTGCAGGGTATGTGGTAAGGAATCTCCTTCAAGGCTGTTCAACTTTCCCAGTAGTCTCTAGTTATTGAAGTGTAAGAGGACCCTTCTGAGACCGTAATTCTCACTTATGAAAAAGTCCTTGGAGAGACCCCTCAAGAGGGATTAAAAACTAAGAGGCACCACACGATTTTAATCTAAAAAAGTTCTCATAGACTGATTGAGATTAGGACTGTAATAGAGATGGGGGTCATTCAGAAATCCTGACTCTTGTCTTTCAAGGTTTAGGTGGCTCATCTCAACCTTACCACTGGGCACTGGCTCTGAGGAGCACAGAGGTGGGGGTAGTTTGCAGAGAAGACACGTTCCATCTGTGAGGTGGAAATCCTGAGATCTCAGTCTCATTTTCTTCCCTGTAGTATTCTCTAATTTCTATTGCAGTGTTTCTACAATGCTGCTGCCATCAATCACTGCCATGTGTCTGCTTGAAGAGGGAACATGTTTCCAAAGTATTCAGTATCAGGTGAGTGTGGTGAAGCTAGCAGCAGAGCAGCAATAAGGCATATGCTCTTTCTCAAGGAACAGCAAAAGCTTTGGATACTAATATCAACAAGACCAAAATGGAACCTCAATATTCCACCTCATTTGTAATAAAAAACAGAAACTTTAAAAACATTTTCTAAGCTGGGCACCAGTGGCTCATGCCTGTAATCATAGCTTCTCAGGAGGCAGGTAGTAGGAGGATCATGGTTTGAGGACAGTCCAAGTAGTTCATGAAACCCTATCTTGAAAAAAATCCATCACAAAGAAGCACTGATGCAATAGCCAAGTTATGGAAACAGCCAAGATGCTCCACCACTGACAAATGGATTAAGAAAATGTGGTATCTATGCACAATGGAATTTTATGCAGCCATGAAGAAGAACGAAATGTTATCATTCGCTGGTAAATGGATGGAACTGGAGAACATCATTCTGAGTGAGGTTAGCCTGGCCCAAAAGACCAAAAATCGTATGTTCTCCCTCATATGTGGACATTAGATCAAGGGCAAACACAACAAGGGGATTGGACTATAAGCACATGATAAAAGCGAGAGCATACAAGGGAGGGGTGAGGATAGGTAAGACACCTAAAAACTTAGCTAGCATTTGTTGCCCTTAACGCAGAGAAACTAAAGCAGATACCTTAAAAGCAACTGAGGCCAATAGGAGAAGGGGACCAGGAACTAGAGAAAAGGTTAGATCAAAAAGAATTAACCTAGAAGGTAACACACATGCACAGGAAATTAATGTGAGTCAACTCCCTGTATAGCTATCCTTATCTCAACCAGCAAAAACCCTTGTTCCTTCCTATTATTGCTTATACTCTCTCTTCAACAAAATTAGAGATAAGGGCAAAATAGTTTCTGCTGGGTATTGAGGGGTTGGGGGGAGAAGGAGGGGGCGGAGTGGGTGGTAAGAGAGGGGGTGGGCGCAGGGAGGAGAAATGACTCAAGCCTTGTATGCACATATGAATAAAACAATAAAAATATTAAAAAACAAACAAACAAACAAAAACAAAGAAGTGCTGATGGAGTGGCTCAAGGTGTAGGCCC